ACTTAGGGGTTGTAAAACGCTTATATCTTATGTAGATTTCACCCAAATGTGGTCAGGCCTCATTCAGAAAGCTCACAATAACAGATAGAGACATTTTGAATGGTTTTTAAAGTGGATCATTTGGATTCAGGAGCCTATCCCGATGCCAGCTGTGAGCTCCTGGCTCTTGCTTTTCCACTTTCAGCTCAAAAAATTTAAAATTGGACTTGAGGTGCAACTCTACACTGGGATGCTGACGTGCGTTTGCATGCAAGAATACTGTTTTCCCACACCATGTGAATTTAATACTTAAGTGGCATCTTCACAAATAACCAAGGACTTACACGTTTTTTTTTAAATAATACAGTGCAGCATGCAGAAGAAATGGCCCAATCGCAAGTAATTGTCTTCTGTTACTATGGCAGGAAGTGTAGAATTAAATTCAATAATAGTTTATTGTTGATAATTGCACAATTCAATTCATGAATAACAAACTTTAGTTTGAACCTAACTGGAATTTAAAGTCATTGCCTTTTTTTTTTGTCAGACATGTAGTGTCTTTCATGTAGTCTTTCTTTATTTGTTAATTTGAAACTGCCTGTCATGCAGCAGTACAGAAAATATTTTTTCCAGTAAAATATCCACAGTGCCACCAAAAGAAGTCAAGTAGAAAGTGCCTTTGTTCTGCCACTGTTCAGTAAAGCCAGCAAGCACAGAAGCTCTGCATTTACACACTTGACTGGGCTTTTGAATCCCGGGCAAATTCTTTTAAAAAAAAGCCTTTGGCTCAAATAGAAAAAGAGTGCCAACAAAACAATCTGGATGATTTTATGGACCGAAAACACCTGAGAAAAGTTCAGCTATGTATTATAAAATCATTTCAACATATCTCATACTTTACTGTTTAGTAGTTGCACTGTTAAATTAGCTCTGATTTTTATTGCACTTATTAAACCTGCAGTTTACAACACACAGTTGTAAGGCAGACCTTTTCCCTCAACTGTTTTCTCTTAACACAGAGACCTTTTCACAATTTCATAAACCTCTTTCTAGTGCACCAAATAACAGACCTTGCGTTGAGTAAAACGGCTTGTCATTTGTGGAGATACTCACAGAATGGTTCAATTAAAAAAAAAAGGGTCAAATCAAGTAATGAAGAGGAACGTTAACAAATGACAATAGAAAAAGCTTCTGGTCTTTGGCTTTTCTTAAAGGACTCGGAGCTGACAGTGTTGTCTTTATTTAAAGTGTCCCTGTGCAACTTGCAATCAGTGCTCCAACCATCTGCTTGCCAGATGTTCTTTATTGGTCCTGGTCTCCTTGGCAGAGGCAGGCTTTAGCTGATCTTACAGTGTGCAGAGAGTGGGAGGGAGGGCCAAGTTGAAGTGCAGCAATGGGAGGTGTCTGGAACTCCATATGAGCGGTTCCTCTTAGCACCCTGGTCACTTGTGAGAATGAGGGAAACAAGTGTCCGTGGAAATGTAGGAACGGGGAGGAAGTGCTGAGCTGACTTTGAGTATGGCTGAAAAGAGGCTTCAAAAAGGAGGAGAGGAGAGCCTGAGCTGCTCGTCCACAGTACCGTAAGCAACGCCGGTTTTACTCATGGATGTTAATCGGTTGAGGCCTTTTTCAGTCCAGACTTTCACCGAAGCGTTCGTTTAAAAACTGTAAAAGTATAAAATTTAAAACTTTAATCATTTAAAAATGTTGGTGAGTATATATAAACAGGAATGCAGACAGGAAATATTCTGTACTGTATACACTTATATGAGGATAGCAAAAGCATTTCACTTGATTGGCTCAACACTGATATCCAGTTGTGCAGCAGCTGTGCAGGCAGATTCTGCACTCAGTCCATTCAGGAGAAAGCTCGGGACAGCAGTCTGCTTGTCCTTCCTTTCATTTCGGTCCAAACAGGTATCTCTGTACTATTGATCTCATTTCTGCTCTGAATCTGTGCTTTTCTGAAATTCTGAAAAACCTGAAAACTCTTGCTGTGAAAATCTTCATTGTATTTTTTGTTGATTTCTTCAACATTAAAATTAAACCACTGTACCATTTGTTCTTAGAAGCTGAGGTCTTTGATATTTACTACATTTACTAATTTACTACAGGTGTTGATGGACTTTCATCTGCAGTACAGTATGGTTGTTTTCTTTTGCCCTGAAGGACAACAGCAGTACTGAGTCCAGGGTGTATTCTGCCTTGTGCCCATTGGTTGGGGAATTAAAGCAGTATCCACTGAAAAGTGTTGTCCTTACTCCACTGCTGGGTTCAAATGTAGATGGAAAAATCTGGTCAATGTTATGAAACACATCTTAAAAAACTGATGTTTTTCCAAAGCTTCGAAAACATTTGTGTGATATATTCAACAGGCACAGTGAATATGGCTTATGTGAAATATTGTCGCCTTGCTATTTATCGGGTTCCTTGGTGTTTGAAAGGGTTTACAGACGTGTCCCCCAGGATGAGTGCGCAGTGCGTGCAACACTTTTTTGGATCTGGTGTGTGGGCGGCAACAAAATTGCAGCTGATTTTTCTAGGGATCTTTTCAAAGTAAGCAACAAGCTTTGTTGGCTCCGGGGCAGAAATGTAGAATCTTAATGACTGGCCTGCTACTGTGCTCACTGGTGGTTTATTAGCACTAGTGGCTTATATTACAGACATACCAGCATGAGAATGACACAAAAGCTCTCGATTGCTCTCAGAGTCAGTGCAATGAGTGCAAAGAGGATCACTTCCCCACGTATCAGTGAACGGCAGACAGTGCCAGGTCTTTTTTCGTATTTTCTTCAAATACTCTTGTCCCATATTGTCCCAGTGTGTGCTTTTGATGTGTGAGCATGTGTTTAATATATTGTCTCAAAATGTAGTTGCTGTGAAAATTTCAGCAATATTTACCGCTCAAACATAACAACAGTGAAATGTTTTCTAGGCATTTTATAGGAGCATTTTGAATCCTGGACTTGTAACGGGAATGTCATGCACTCAAATCCCAGAAGAGACAGTGCTGATGTACGCTTAAGGCAGGTTCTTCACCCAAACTGCTCCAGTAAATTACCCATCTGCACAAATGGGTCCAAGTGCAAGTTGCTTTGAATAAAAGCTTCAGCCAAATAAATCAGTAGGTTTTGAAACCAACATGAAGTGGTGTACATTGCCGCGGTTGTGTGCTGTGATCACCCGAATGTCACAAATCTGCACTTAAAGAATCGTCCACTTTTTTTTTTGCATAGCTTCTGTATTTGGGGACTTTCCAAAGTACTAATAACGAAGTACTCGGCAAGCAAATGAATAAGAAGTACTGCACATCTGCAATCTTCTTAGGAGATTGCAATGAAATTGTAAGTGCACGCTTTCTAATGATACGTTTTGAAGTATTAAAAGATTGTTGGAAAGAAAGTGGAAAAGGTGCTTTTTAGTTTGCACTTCTGTTTGTTCTCATTGTGTGTGCTTCAGCTGTTTGCAGTAGATTCACATGTTGGATGGCTTACCTCTCCACCCAGGGCCATCCTCACCACAGAACTCTCATTACAGCAGGCGGGGTGCAGTGAGCAATGACTAACTGCGTTAACCACTGTCGGTATCTTCAAATAAATATTTTGATCTGGATATTCCACCCTGGCACGCTGATATAAAAGCAAACCACTTTTGTCTTTGTGCTGCTTGAAAAGTTGTTTTCACCCTTGTTTTGGTCCCTCTTTCGACTTCACTGATGCTAAGATCCGTCCACAGCCTAACACAAGACCTCTGTGAAGCTACTGTTTCTGCACTTGGAGAATTTGTGGGTCACAGGCCAAGTGAAAATAACCTGAAGCTTGGCTCGTTCAGACGAGATAGATAGCTTTGTTTATCTGGAGAGACTGTAATAGACCTGTTCGCTTTGAGGTCTGGAGAAGCTGCAGAAATACTTTGATTATATTGAGGGGTATTGGAAAAAGGCTAACATTTAACATCGTTTTGGCTCATTTTATCAACTGTGTCTCTTTGTTAATTCTGCTAGTATAAAACTCTCTCAATTTTTGACACACAGTAAAGTCAGCTCTGTTAAAGCTGACTGTGTTCGAGTTCTAACACGATAAACTACTGCCAGGAAACTTTTGAAACAGCAGGTTGCCTGTTGCTGACTGGTAAAGCAATAAGCATTAGTGAAAGCAGTGAAGAACCAATGAAGAAAGCAGTGTATTGCTTTTTTTCAGTGGGTCTTAATTTGCATTTTCAAAGTGACTTGCAGTGACTGTAGAATTTAAATTAGGTCATTATAAGGTGCTTATAAGAACAAAAGTGCGCCTAACAGGCTTCCCTTGTGTCACTTACATTGATACAGTGCAAGCCACGTTGTCTACAAAATTTAATTTCTCCATTTCCTCTAGACTTTAAACATTGATCTGACATTCCATTTGCAGTGCTTCTCTGTCCAGACAAAACAAGCTGAAACAGTTAAGGTCCTGGATCTCCAGATTTGGGCAAGTGTTATTAATAAAGAGTGCGGCCTGCTTAAAATGAAACAAACTTCAGTTAAAGCTTAGAAAATTGTCCTGAAAGGTACAAAGAGACACAAACATGGGCTGACTTAAACTATTATTTTCAAATACTGAAAAGGTTTTAAACTATATAAAAGCTACATTTGAAGCACTTTTCATCTAGGATACTAAACAAATGTGTTGACAAGTGGAGTTAACCTCTTCTACGCTAACCGAAAATCGAGGCCTAAGAGGTGTAGGTGTGTTGTTTAATGGTGTAACGAATATACCCCTGCGTATAACAGGGATCTCAGCCACCCGGGCTGGGGGGAGCTCTCCTTTAGCTCAGCTGGCAAGTTCCCTGTTGCATGACGCCGGAGACCCGGGTTCGTGCCCAGGCAGCGAGGGACGAACTGGCAGAGCAGGAGCGGCAAGGGCAGAAACCCCAAAACCGTTGCACTACACTGGGGTGGATGCTGGTCAGATCAGTGTGTGGCTCCTTGGTTTCCTTTTCACTATTGTGTGCCTCAGTTCAATGTGCTGTAATGTCCTTCACAGCTGCGTGTGGATTATGGGTACAACTGCCAGTGCAGCACAACAGACAGTTGCAGTAGCACCTCCATATGAAAGTATCCATGGCAACGGGATGGCAGACAACAGGCGGTCACTGAGCATTAACTCCTTTCAGACAGTCAACATCCACAGCAGCAAGGCCAAGTCCATCATCACCAATAAGGTGGCTCCTGTGGTCATTACGTGAGTACAGCTTTGGATTTTAAGATTTTTTTCACTGTATGCACCGTGAAAACAACAATACTGTAATATTCAGTCACTCTAACAGCACGTTGTCTTTTATTTGACAAAATTCCTTCCTAATAGTCTTACTCTTGCAATTGAATGCTACACTACAGCAATAAAGATTTTAATTTCTATTTTTCATATATAAATCTTATCTCATGTTGAAGCCACTCTATATGTCTGTTTTTGTTTTACAATTCGCCTTTTTTTGGCCTTAATATTAACAGATAGCTTTGATGTATTTTCTAGGTACAATTGTAGACAAGAGTTTCAGATTCACGATGACCTTTTCAAAGCAGAATACACCCTGGGGCGAATCTCAGACACAATGCCAGAGCACTACCTTGTACAGGTGAGGAATTGGGCTGGGAACAGAAAGATAGTAGCACAGCCATGAGACCTGTTATAGATTTGAAAGGGCTTAAATGCGCACCTCTTGAAATTATAATTAAGCTACAGCAGGAAAGAAAAACTAATAGTGTTTTTTTTTTAGATATTGGTAAGATAACTGGATTGTTTTAGGGGAGCCCACTAACTCTTGTTCAGACCACTTCCATATTTGGTTTATGGAAACATGGACGGCACTAGGACGCATGTGTGCTGTCCTTATGCCAATGCTAAATAAATAAAAGAAATTACATTCATTCTAAATGTTTAGAGCTGAAGTATAAGCCACCAGGATTAAACAGACATCTGCTGTTATATGGGTGGGCTCCTATGTAGAGGTTTCATTGAAGTGTTTCCAGAAGGACATGTGTGATTCTTACCACACAGGTGGGGAGACCAATGTGTGTCTAAAAAAAACCTGGGCACTTTTCAGGGCAACCGAAAGCTTATTATAGTGAGCCTTTCCCTGTTCCTGCTCACTGCTGCCGTTCCTCTTGTGAAACAAGGGAATGCTGTGCATATGCCGGCCATGCAGATGAGAGGAAGCAGGATGAACAATTGCTTAATGGGAGGAATATAGCAGAAATTGTATTTAAAACTTGTTAAAGTAACCACAATATAATACCTATATTTTTGTGTATCTTCATCATCAGGGTAAATACTTCATGGTGCAGGATGTGTACAGTAAAGCAGATGTCCTGAACACTACTGGAAGCTATGGAGCCCCGAACTTCAGGCAAGCCAAAGGCAGCTACCCCTTGTTTGGAATGGGTCAGCCCAGCCTCAGTGGCTTCAAACAGGTTCTACAGAGACTGCAGACACAAGGGTACGAGGTCAGTAAAGCCACGCAGTACCTGCTGATGATTTCATGGCTTTTTCAGCAAATGTAATGGATAAAAGAGCCCTTTGCTTTTTTTCAAATCAAAGTCTACACCATAGGAATGGCTTATAGAAGCCTTTGAATTGGAATGGTTCGTAAGCAGCAATTTCGGAGCTAACTTATGTCGTGAGATGGCTTTGATGAGAAGATAACTTTTTCTCATAGTTTTGTGGACGTTTAGGACTATTACCATATTTATTAGGTAAGCAGTGTTTAACAGTTCATGTAGTCTGCCTATGTTCACTGACATCCTGTTGATGATGTGAGGGAAACAGGTGTCTTCAGGATTCTTTCAAAATGGTAATGCGGTATTACATTGGTGCTTTTTAATAAGCTGAGTGATGAAAAGATAGCCTTCAGTATATTTTGTTTCATATTTACATAATATATACACATATGCAAGAAAAAGGGTGCATTGCCTGTTCATATTTAATTGCAGAAATGTAGATATTTATAAGTCTTATAAGTGGCTTCCTTTATAGAACATAGTATTTATAGTGCTTCCATAACCAGAGCACAATAAACTCCAAGACGATGTCTTTCACTAAGTTTAAATAAGTTTTCATATTTCATTTTAACGAAGTCTTTGGCAAAAAAAGATGAAGTGTGGGATGGAGCCTGATTTTCTCTTTTTCCTTTGTGAGCAGGAGGTTATTTTCATCTGTGTCCGTGAAGAACCCGTCGTTTTCTTACACTTGGAAAACAATTTTGTGCCATACACTCCAAGGAGGAAAGAAAACCTCCATGAAAACCTGCATGGACTTGGGAAAGATGTCAAAGTTGAAAAGCTGGAGCTGTCCATCAGAAAGGAGGTCTGTGCCGTGTGTTCTTGCTGTTTCTATGTTTCCTTGCTGATCAAATTTGACAGCTGTCGTGTGAAACATGATGTGAGGCCGTGGAAGTATGCTTGTGGAAATCTACATTTTGGAGAGAATGCGGACGAGGTAGTCCACGGCAAGAGAATTCCCTCAATCATCGTCCTTCGGATGAGATGTAAAACCGATGTCCTGACTCTCAGAGGTCATTAAAAATCCCAGGGCGTTTCTCGAAAAGAGTAGGGGTGTAATTTACCATTGGCCCTTACCAATCATGGCCTCCTAATAATCCCCCTCTATGAATTGGCTACATTACTCTGCTCTCCTCCCCACTGAGAGCTGATGTATGGTGAGCGTTCTGGCGCACTATGGCTGCCGTCGCATCATCCAGGTGGATGCTGCACATTGGTGGTGGTGGAGGGGGGTCCCCATTACCTGTAAAGCACTTTGAGTGGAGTGTCCAAGAAAGCACTATATAAGTGTAAGCAATTATTATGATTATTATTAATGCAAGAGAAGAAAGAGGGAAGAGGAATATTTTGGGAACCATCACAGTAGTGCTGTCAAGGATGGGGTTGGGAGCACCTGGTTGGACCCTATGCGGCGCTGAGACTGTAGGTAGTAGCTAGCGATTGGCGCCCAAATCCCAAAGACAAAAGGCAGAAGTCGTAGTCGAGGTAGAAGAGCTAGGTCGGGAATCACAAGAGTCAGGTCAGGAGTATCCAAATCCAAAACGAGAGGCGAGACGAAGTCGAAGCAGGAAGAAAACAAGGTCGGGTAGCTGGAAATCAGGTCGAGAGTAGTATACTCGCACAAGAGAAAGCCAAGGGTTATTCTCAATAGTGAGCGGGGACTGAGTGGAGTGAGAGGGTGAGGGATGACAATTCATTAATTAGTGCGCGGGTGTTGGCAGTGAGAGGTGCTCATAGGAATGCGGTTCGTGACAAGTGCTGAGCAGTGAGTGAGGAAACGGTCATGATCTCTGTTCAAATGGGGAGCCCCATCAGTAGGAGAGCTATAGAGGATCAAGTAGGGGTTAACTGGAATTAACGTATGCTCTTAGAAGGTGAAGCAAGTTTTGCATCTCAATTTAACACTTACTTTTCTACATTTTATTTGCAGCTGTATGACTTTGCGAAGCTCAGTGAAAATGTATATTATGTCTACAACGACATTGAGCACTTTAAAGATGAGCCTCAGCACATCACCATCACCTGTGAAGAGGACATTCATGTGACTGAAGAGGTTTACAAGAGACCTGCCTTTATTATGCCTTCATACAGGTAGCGTGCAGCTTTGACTTTCACTCTGCGGGTGCTGGACGTCTGTACACTGGTGTTGTTGAGTGAAAGCCATCAGGAATGACTGAGAAGAAGCCTTCCTGCCAATTTTAATTCGATCACATTCAACAAATGTCAGTGATGGGGCCTGGGAATCAGAATGTGACATTTATTTGTGCAGATTGTGATAGAGGCTTCTGCAGCTAGTCAGACAAGATTGCTGAATAAATAGCCTGAGATTGAGGAGGCAAGTGGTATTTGAAGGGTGTTGATTTTCACCGGGTACTACATTATATAGCTGCCTCAATCTAAAGTTAATCCTTAGAAGTGTTCCTTTTGTGCAAAATGACCCATCCCTTTGAAACTCAGCTTGCCTGGCTTTAGATCCAGCTTCAGGGATTTCTCTGTACTTCGTATTTATTGTGTAAATTGTTTCTGCAAACCTGTGATTTAATCCCTGTCGGATGGGTGATGTTTTGCTGGAATGTTGGTAAATTTAAAGCAGAGGACAAAAATAGTACTTAGGGTTTTTAAGAATACATTGGGTGGTGTCTCAGCATACCATCATACATAGAAACTTGAAATTTAAAAATAAATGTAGTGAATCTACACTTAACAGTCTGAGAAGGGCAGACTGTCTCCTTGAGTTTAAGGACATTTCCCAAAAAACTCCAGTTTAGGCTGTCTCCTTGAGTTTTAGGATATTTCCCAAAAAACTCCAGTTTACCGCATTAAGGAATTGTTCACTGTTCAATGAAATGACAGTGGACTCTTAACCCTGGTGTTATAGATTCTGGTTAAGTGATATCCTACAGTATATAATTCAGGGAGCATTAATCATTCTGATTAGTTTACTGTTTGCCTCTGTCTGTGCTCTTACAAATAAATCAGGATAATATTTTGGAGATGTTACAGTAATATTTTATGGCATGTAACATTCATGGTGTTTTTAGGAGAAGTAGTACAAACTGGTGGAAATGAGCCTGGGGTCATGTCAAGTACAGATGTTTATTAATGTCTGAGGTATTTTCTTTTCCATGGTGTTACGGCTCAGAAAGGGTTATGCTTTCAATTTGCCCAGTTAAGTGCTGGTGAGTCCATCATCTGTTGACCTCTTTTATTTCATAGGAAGTAAAATAATTTTAAAATTGCCAAAGAATAATTTTCATCTTAATCTGGTTTCATGCAAAGCCTTACATTTTCTGATGTGATAAAACAGGCTAGGTGAATACCGTATGAACCAACCAATGACATCACAACGGTTTAGCTAGCGACGTGCTCCCTCTTGTTTTTATGAAAACCCTTTATGATCTGTTTATATACTGTATAAGGGTGTATTATGTTTGTATCAAGCTTTGGATGTAGCTGTAATACAGCTGGTTATTGCTGTTTATTTAAAGAATTGGAACTCTTTTTGTTTATATGTCGTCAAGAGATGATGGACAGTGCATATGTGTACAGTCTAACAGCAGGAAGGGAAAAACAGGGTGTCAGTGAAGAAAGCAAACCCAGTCCGGTGTGTTGCCCAGCCCTAATGCAGACCCCGTCCTTGCTGTGTCCTCCATTCCTTGTGAAGTGTCCTGGTTGCCATTAATGCTCAGTCTGTTTTCTAGATACTACCGCTTGCCATTGCCGATGGAGGGATCACCACTTGAAGAGCAGTTTGATGGCTTTGTTAACATACTCAGGGTATGTCCTGGAAGGCAAACAAAGGTTACTGTATCTTTGATCCCTGTGCAATGCTGTTAAGATTGTAGTCTAACATGTTGAGAATGTATTTGAGCAAGACACATTATTCAGTTGGTAAATCTTTCAAGTTCAAGATATATAGTATTTAAAGAATATATCTGGAGGTAACCGTGTGGGTTTCACATTTTTTTATAAAGACTATTGTTTACAGAGTCTTTTCAAAAATAATGTTTCTTCTTTGCTTGTAAGGTGTAAGGTAGGGAGATATAGCATGAAAGAGCTGCCATGCATAAGATTCTGCAAAACTATTGTGCTGCCAAATTCATAACTTTTTATGTTCTTAGTGCCTTAGAATGGCTTGACAAAAAAGATATGCTTTTTCTCAGTGCTTTCAACATCACGTCTTTAAGAAGATGGATTTGTTGAGAAAACAATGACCTGCAGGTTTTGAACTAGGTAAACTGAACACATCACTGCATTCAGAACCTACGATTCTAAGGTCAGAAACTGTGAGAAATCCTTGGCAGTGAACTTTCAAGGCAAGCTCTTCCTGATACCAAAGTCTGGTTTCTGTCCTGTTGTTTTACTTGCTGTCTGTCTCTTTTTTCTTTTTGCCTTTTTTGGAGATCTGCTTTTGGAGACAAGGTGTCAAACAGACAGTGCAGTTCTTTGTCTTTTTGAAGTCTTAACCATTTTTGTACAATGTTCACAAGAGCTTTTAACTACCTCCACATTTATCCTGCGCCCGTGTAAATGTTATTGTTACACTCACACAATGTGACCGCTTTGTCATTTACTGCAAGACTGTAGTTTATAAAATATTGCTTTTAATGTCTGGTGGACTAGCATAAAATAATTCCAGAACTGGTCTTTTTATTTCCTGTATTATTCTTTTCAAAATGTTTTGGATATTGAGAATTTCATCATTTTAGCTTAACACTCCAGTGCAGAAGCAAAGTATCTATTTTTTATGAATGTGAAAACAGAAGCTGTTTAAATTTCCTTTTTGTGGATGACTACACAGACTTTGTTCCATAAGCAAACATAACAGCACTGTTTACTAAATGGTGTCTTTTTTCCTAGTTATTGGCCTTTTCCTAGTACAGATTTCCCTCTTTTCATACAACTTTTCCCTAATGCCAGCTTAAATGCCTTTCCTAGAGTTCAAAATAAGTGGAGGGAGAACTTTATTTAGGCAGTGTGAAATTTAAATTATCTAATGGACTAATGTAGCCTTTACAAGTGCACTAATAAGAAACAGAAGGAGGTTTTGAAATGAGAGAAAGCCATTAGGCACACCAGGCTTGCTGGGCAGTAGTTAGTAGTTAATTCATCCCATCCAGCCATTTCCTATAAGAAGCCAGGACATCAGCTTCAGTGATTCAGTCATATGCAAATATAGTGCCTGTAGGTTGATTAGTGTTTGGCACTGTTTTGTTTACTAGGTCCTATCTGTGGAATTTATAGGACTCAAATGTCCTTCTTTCCCCATTGCAGGAGAACCCGAATCTGCTGCTTATTCGAGACTCAACACGACCTCCACCTGCCTTGCTGTTCAGTTGTCAAGTGGGAGTGGGGAGGACTACCCTGGCGATGATCCTGGGTGCCCTGGTGATGTTTCATCTGAAGGGCGCTCCTGAGAAACCTCCGTAAGCAAGAGGAATCGTGTCCAGTATCGCAGTCATGTGCTGTTACAGTTTTCAGCAGTGAATTACTAGACCCTGTCTTCCGAGAAGCCTGCAGTTCCCCACTAACCTCCCTCACCAGCACAGACAACAGGAATACAGGCATACTGCTCTATTTACAGTTAACACTGTGCAAGCGCAACCATTTTCACAAAGTCTTGTCCCCTGGCTCATCTTCTGGGCCCATGGACATGACTGGATATTATAAGCCTCCATTGATCTGCATGTCTTCAGTTGTGGTGGTTGATCAAGTTTTACAATGAGTGACTCCATAGGATGAGCATCTCCTATCTGCATTAGAGAGCTGCAGAATATGAGAATGCCTTGTTTCCTGTTGTCGTCAGAAGCTACATTAGGGGTGTTTTCTGTGCCTTTATTATGTGTGGAGGAGGTTTGCCCAATTGATCATTAGCATAGGACTCTCCTGTGTTGTCTGCACTTCTGAAATCCAGTTAAAGGTGAATAATCAGAAAGCAAAGCACAACAAAAAGCAGCAGAGTCTGAACCAGGCGTGATCTCAGTCATTTTTGAAGAGTTGGGGGCTTTCTGCGTGACGGCTTCAACAGTGAGCCCAGCAGTTGCCTGAGGTTTATGGGATTTGTGATAGATTGCGTCCTTATAGTTGAAAGAAATCACATTCACGGACATGTGAAGAATTTGAGCACGGTTTCTTGTCTGCAGAGTTGACGAGACTGTCAGCGCAGCGCCAAAAGTGCACTTCCAGATCATCCAGAGCCTTGTCAGTAAGCTTCCAAATGGGCAACGGGTTATAGAAGAGGTAAAGGGCTCAGCCTCCATCGCAAACAGTTTTCTCTTCCCATGTTCTTTTTTTGTACATTTGTATGGCATTTCTGTTTCTCCACAAGAGGTTGACTTTTCTGAATGTAACACTTCAGTCAGCTTTGTGTGATCAAACTGATTTGGATTTTATTGACATCATATGAGTGCTTCATCTCACTAAGTAATGCACAGATGCTTTGGAAACAATATATTAATTTGACCAAAATATCTTTTCGATTTTGTAATAAGGAAAAAAGTATCCTTTTTAAGCAATTTTAGTGATGAATCATGAAACGGAAAAACTTCATCACTAAAACGTATGAAAGTTAAAACTTATTTTCCACTGCCTGTTGGTGTTAAGGTATACAGTACAAGTGTGTGCTTGTGGATCCGAATGCCAGCACTGCCCTCTACTGTATGGCTGAAGTAACTGTAAATTACTCATTTGAGGTGAAAGCTTTATTTTAGCTCACCTCTAACATTTTTATACATGACTGCAGGAGGCTGGTATTTGGAAACCTATGAATCAATTGCATCTAAAACAAGGGAAATGAAAGTTATTTCCATTTCATTTTTACGATTGGGTTTAGTAGTTTAAAACTGGGCATTCTTTATAAAAATATCTGAGGTTGGTATTTTCAGATGTAGTGAATATTTCTAATTGAATGTACTAAGGACCAATGCTAGACTAAACATTAGATGATCCTCAATTTATTTGTATGTTTAATGATGTATCTTTCATATTGGTACCAGTGTACTACTGATACTACTGTTATACTAAGGATCAGTGTATTTATTTAGAACAGATAAAGACTTTAGAGCTGCAACATATGCTAACTAATTAGAAAGTGTTTTTGAATAAAAAAATGACCCAATTTAATTTACATTGCTAATCACTTGAGGTTAAGTAGGTTCCCGTTTACAACTTCTTTTTTGTCACAGGTTGACAGTGCTATAGCTCTTTGCTCAGAAATGCACGACATTAAAGAAGCGATTTATGAAAATAAGAAAAAACTTGAGGGGATTGGAGAGGATTATCAGATTCAGGTGAGATGCAGATCTTCCTGAGGTAACCATTCTCTGAGGGCAAGTCTTCCTGGGAAGAACCCATTGTCTCATTAACTGTTTCACCGAATAATTAATTGTTGAGCTAATTACAATAAATCCCACATGCCATAACTATCCTTAATTTAGCCCAGTGGCGGCTTAGTTCAGTTTAGTTTAGTCCGGCAGGTTTTTTAGTTCTGTTATTATCACCTGAGAGAGAGAGACAGAGGAGTGGGTCCAGTTGAGACCTGCTGGACCAATGTGAACCATTGTCGCAAAAACTAGATGCTACAGAAGTTCAGCAGCAGATTATGACTAAAGCACCTATCACTTTACTGCTACTAGGAAAGGAGAAGACTTTGAAAAAGAAATTTGTTCAGGGCAGTCTTTGAAAGCCTGTGAGTCTGGCAAAGGCGGTTATACATGTTCTGTATATACAGTACCACTCTGCGATGATGTAAAAGAAAACATGGCCTGAAAACTATAGAAGCCTAAATGAGGCCTTTCAGATGAAAATAGAAGAAAAATCTAGAAGCGTAAGAGTCATGAAGCCAATTGTATATACCTTAGATAACTTCCGGACCTGTTTGAATTTGTCGTCTAACTGGTAGCGTTGTTGTGTGATTAACAGGGAAGTAGTACCAAAGAGTATTTTCTCCAGCGGACAATGCAGAGTCTGGAGTGTTACTTTTACCTGATTGCATTCAATGCCTATCTTCATGAGCAGGTATGTATTTTCTTACATTTCCTGCGTCTAAAAGTGACAGATGTTTAATTTTTTTCTGTTGTTGGATTTGTTCAGAAATATAAAATGTTTGCAAACAAAAAAAACCCTCGCTGGATTGCTTAAATGACCAGATCTTTTAATTTCAGATGAAGATTCCAGCATTTACTCTCTTTTTAAAAATACAGTACATCCGATGTATCCAGGAACTATATAAAATTCTGGGCTTCTCTTGTGCTGTTCATGGAGCAAGTTGACTGTGTTCAGACCTTGAGCTGTGTTTTTCCAGTACCCTCTGGTGTTCGCACTGAACTTCAGCAAATGGATGTGCAGCCACCCGTGGATTTACAGGCTGCTCGCCTGTATGAACTTATCAGAACTGTCGGCGCCCGCAGACCTCGTAACCAAAGGAACAAGAGTGCTGGTGAGTTTTGTCTATGGATGAATGTTGGGCTAAACTTTTTTTTTTGTTTATATGGTGGGCTTGCTTAATGACTTCTTGGCATTTCCTCTTTATTGCACCACGTAAAATTTCTTAAGACTATTTTTATTTTTAATTTTCCTCTTTCATGCCCCATTTGGAGCTCATGAATGGCTTCAGTGACTCACGGCTGCTCCCTTGTGGTGACCTAGAAGACTCGGAGAACTGCTGCCTCTCCTGACAAGAGCAGTTAGACACTCACCTCTTAATTTTTTTGATTTTGTCTGAAGGGCAGATGTAGCTCCTGCTCAGGATTAAAATAATGAAATTGCACAGCTCGTTAATGATACACAGCCAAGTTGGCACCTGGGGTCTGCTGGGCTTCTCTCTAATCCTCTGATACAGCCTGGATATTAACCTGTGATTTTTATGCTTTATCACTTGTTTCTTTTTAGAGTGCAGATTTTCCTGGATAAGCCTTCTGGAAGCCATTAGATAATCTTGTTTTCATTTTTCATATTAATTTAGCCATCTAAGTTGTTTCTGGAGAAGTACATCATGATTACAAATAAAAAACAGCTATTTCAACAAAACTTGTGTTTAATTAGAGATTAGAGATTACTTTTTAGGGTAATAGAATGTTCACAAAACGTATTCTGAGGAAAAAAAGGGCAGCCAAGCTATTATCAGCTGTTGTTTGCAGACACATAGCTTGCTGTAATGTTATTTATTATTGTTTTTTCTTGTGATTCTCTTTTCTTACAGGTATCAGATGATTTTTTGGCTCCTGATGTTCTAAGTACAGTCAAAGAAATGAAAGTAGCTAACTTCAGAAGAGTCCCCAAAATGTCAGTGTATGGAATGGCACAGCCAAATTCAGAGGTAGGAGCTCTGCTCCTTGCGTCAGTTCAGAAGTCTTTAAATCCAGTGTGTGACACCGGGTTCCTAATGCCCAAGCAAAGAATTATAGGTGAAGTCTGATAATAAGGGAGAACCGATGCAGTTCAGTGTAACTTGATACCGAGTATTATAAAACAGGGAATGGCTGTGTTTTACTGACAAGGAAAAAATCAGAAAACTTCAATTCTCATCTTTTGTTCTTCAGGCGGGTGATATCTTGCTAGTTAAATATATGCTTTCATGTGGAATAAAGTCTGGTAAAAAGACTCAGCTATTCACATTACTTTGTGCTCTGCAGATAGGTATGCTGTACTTTCCTGTTGTAGGGATAAACTGTCTTTTTATTACTGTTGATCTGCATTTGAAGTTGTGTATTTTGCTTCTTGTCTATACAGAACTGGGAACGGGTTAATTTCTTCTGTTCTCTGCAAAACCACAACAGCCAGTTATACCTTATATTTATTTTTTGTAACTATACAGTATATTCTTGGTACAACAGGAGTAGCCAAGCCTGCAGGTGGTTCCTAGAAATGTGATTCTGTTGCGAGAAGCTACTCACCTGGACAGGAGGGGCTTCACGCTTTTTTGACATGTAATGAGCAGTGCCTGCTGGTGTGTTCAGGGGGCGGGGGCGGTGCTGGGATACCTGACGGATGAGAAGAGGAAGTACTCCCACATCCTGTGGCTGAACCTGCAGGAGGAGCTGGTCCTCGAGGGCAACGGCCAGATCTTCACTCCCCGGGAGCCATCCAGGCTGGAGACGCGCATCCCTGTGCCCGCCAGCAGTCCACAGGAGATCGAGGCAAGGCAGTGAGCGGGAGTCATCCGTCTGTCCATCTTCTGTCTCAATCCCCCCATAAATAGGGATTCCTCCTATTGTCCGCTTTTCTCCCAGTCTTGAGTACATCACCGAGTTTTTGTGACCTATTAAACTCCATTCTTGAAAGAAAGGCGTCTTGTGGGAAATGACGTATTTTTCAGCTGGTTGGACAGAATGTGTCAGAGCAGCCAAGCATAAACCGAAAGAAACCTGATGAAGGTCTCCGTTATCATGTCTAATGATTAACAGTTTTTTTCCCCTATTGAGGCAAAGTATAGTTTCTGCTGGGGAAACACGCTGCTAATTTCAGGTGATCACAGAGAACCCAAGTTCAGTCCTCCAGAGTTTTTTTTTTATCCAAGACTTAGGCATCAGCCTTCAGAAAATTTCTATCCTCTGTTGCCTGTGGTGAACAACATCTGATGCTGACTCAGTATGGTCTGTCTTGCTCTTAGAAACTGGAGACTGCTGTCAAAGAGGAAATCCTGAAAGCCCAGAAATGGCTGGAGGTGTCTCTGGAGCAGGAGAAGCAGATGAAAATGTTTAAAACCTGTGTGACAGTGCAAGAGATCTTCAACCAGCACAAAAGCACTTGCAAAGGACTGGTGTACAAACGCATTCCACTTTCTGACTGCTGTGCTCCTAAGGAGCAGGTAAGATACACGTCTATATATGCCTCCTCTGTCAAAAATAATAGCTCAGGCTGCAGTGCACGCAAATAGAAGAACCTGTTATCTTGTAGTCTTTTTTCTGTAGTTAGAAAAAGATGCAAATGAAGAGCTTCAGTACAAGAATGTTCGGTCTTTGGTATACAGTATATAGAAGTGTGTCAGGAAGTGTGCAAGACCTCCCTCTGGTGGAAAACATCATATTACAGTGTCAGAGCTGGGCTTTGAAGCTTGTTCTTTTAGGCAGCCCTCTATAAAGTGTTACAAGACAACAGTTTCTGCCTGTTCTGAACTATAACTGAAGTAAACAAACTGTTTATTGTTAATCCTATGAAGACAATACATTTGAGTGTGTATTTAGATCAGGTTTTTATTTTGATTTCAACAAAAGAACGGTTACAAATAACCAAGAGCATCATAACAGCTTTCCTCCCTGCCAGACGGCCTTTCATGTATTACAGCCACAGCTCCCTTTCCAGACCTCCAAACTGCATATTCTTGTTTTTCTGGACCTTTTATCTCCGCCCGGCAGATGCTGTGTGGGAGCCTCTTGTGTGCTCTGTGGGTGCGCTGAACACAGCCCCTGACGCGTTTGTTTGGTCTGCAGGACTTTGACCAGCTCATGGAGGCTATGAAGGCAGCCCTGGCAGAGGACTCCCGCACTGCCTTTGTGTTCAACTGCCACAACGGCAAGGGCAGCACCACCACCGCCATGGTCATCGCCACTCTCATCCTCTGGCACTTCAACGTATGTCCGTCTCGAAGTCCATACCGCGCCATCCCACGTGCGGTGCCCAATGGGGACAAGGGCCAGCCGCTTCTGTGAAAACATTTCTTTTCCTGCGAGGGGGTGGCTAAATGAAAAGTAAACGGGAGAAGTCAAATTCTTTTACCGCTGTGAGGAACGTGGGGTTTTATGTTCTAAGCGAGTGCTGCTTCCTAGTACATGTGGAGAGACTGCTTTTATCGCTCTTGGAAACCAAGCAGTTGACTCAAAAGGAAAGCTGTTTTGCATAATGATAGTATATACTGTATTTGGAGATATTCTGCCTCTTGCTAATAAAGGTGTCCACAGGGCTCTTGCAGGAGGCTGTCAGATGTGTTATGATGTTATTCATCCATCATGAATGACATCATGAACACAAACATTCCATTCTCAGCTGTCTTTTATAGGGTGGCTGTTTGCTTACTGCACTGGGCATGAGTCATTTATTGGAATGAAATCTATGACAGCTGTCACATTATTTCAGCAAATCGCCTCCTTTCATTTTGCAGGGATTTCCTGAATTCAGTGAAGATGAAATAGTGAGTGTTCCTGATGCCAAATACACAAAAGGGGAATTTGAGGTAACATTGCTTTTCAATTTGATATCTTTGATTGCTTATTCATTGGGCTGTTCTCCATTTGAATGACATGCACTGGTTTAATTATTTTAAACACCTAATTAATGTCAATGCTTAAACTGTCATTAGCACCATATTCTGTTTTAAAGACCAGGTTATCTTTCTATCTTGAATATTATTTCAAACAATAACTAATCTTTTATTTTTTTTAGAAAAGCACTAGGGTATTTCTTTGACTTTGAGGTGAACAAAACAATAAACATAGTTTTTCCAAGTAGTGTGTAATCGGTGTTTGTTGTTTAGCTTATATCTCAAAAAGCATCTATTTGAGAGACAAAATGAGCCCTTGGGCATTAAATGTGTTGAGGTGAATCTATAGACATTGTAGTTGTATCATCTTTTTAGAAGTGGTCTGATTTGTCCAGTCATAGACAGTGGTATTCCAGTGGTTGTGTCTGTCTGAAGTGATTCATTCTAAAGACTGCTGTAAATTCTGGAGTTCTGTTGCCAAGGAGCCGTGTCAGGAAACATCGTAAGCTTGATCTTCAGTAGACGTGCAGTCCTGCTTATTTCTGGCTTGCTTGTGCAAGCTCATTTGCAGGAATACAAAGGTGGCCCTGTCCTGAGCACAGCCTTTTCATCCTGCCCGCCGTGAGCAAACTCGTCCTCCGTGGCTCTGTGGTGAAGGTTTGTGAGGTTCAAGTGGAAGCATCATTATTGGCGACCACTTGAAAGTACCAGCATTCCTTTTTTTTCCCTCTCCCAGTAGGTGCAAAGTATCTGTGCCTTATTAATAGACAGATCACATGTGCAGGGCTGGAAATCTTTGCAGCTTATGTTCTTCAGGTGATTCCAAGGAGAGTGTAAGAGGCAGTGCAATAAATTGTGTGCTAGAGTCCCTGACTGGGATGGCAGTTTGGCACGCTTACTACATCACATCATACAGACGGCTCTTCATGGAGCCCTTGAGGGGTGTGTGCCACCCAGTCAGGCTCTGATGTCATGTCTGCAGGCTGACATCCACTATAACGACACTACTGTTTAAGGTATTCCAGCCAGCAAAATCGAGGCCACTGGTTTGAATTAGTATGGGTGATGGAAACCTGTCGGCATGAATCCTCCCTTTCTCAGCGCTGTCTCGTTTCTAATTTTGTAGATGGTCTTTTTTTTTTTGTGCGTGTCTGTTTCGCGGAAGTGGTAGAGAAAGGGATTGAATGTATCACGTCACCACTTTGGAAGAGGGCCTTTGCAACCTGATATTCTGTATTTTAAGTATGAGTTGTCTGCAGATGCAGCTGAACCCTTCTGCACACTCACAGTGGCTTGACAGGATGATTAAAATATGTTCATGCTGACTTTTCACATCTTTCATGTTCTGAGTGCCTGACCTCACTTCTTGCCTTTATTATCACTTCCTCTGTAAGGTGTTTATGACTCTTGGTTGGTTCAAAATGACTAAATGTTACACTAAGCTTGATTCTCAGCTTCCGAGGATGACAATGGCCTTTCTCTTCTGCAACAGTATCACAGCCTCTATGTCCAATCAGCTTCTTTCTGTATTCCTTTTTAATTCAGCCTTTTCTTTTTTTATAGAAGCTGCATAAAGGGAAAGACCATCTTTTATTTTACAGTTTTCAAGAGTGTGACTCAAGCAAGGTTATCGACGGTTTTCCGACCAATGTAATACTAGAACCAAAAAGGAAACAAAGAAAGTAGATCAAATTAATCACTTCATTCAATAATGAGCACATGTTAAACAGTGGAATCCCCTGTATTCTGGGACAGTTTTAGTTACTGTCTCCACATAAACTCCTCCATGATAATAATTTCCTGCTTCTTAATTCGTAAGAGGTACAGAGACACTTTTCACCATGTAAATCAACCCCTTTCTGTTCAGGTTGTCATGCAGTTGGTGAGACTTCTCCCCGAGGGCCACAAAATGAAGAAGGAGGTCGATATGGCCTTGGATGCTGTGAGCGAGACCATGACTCCAATGCACTATCACCTGAGAGAGATCATTATCTGCACCTACAGACAGGTAGAAAGTAGTGTGTTTGGAAGTATGTTATCATCCTCAAGTTGCAATATTAAAAATGGTTGCTCACGGCGTCCAAAGTGCACACTTGGGCGATGCGAGTTTTTTTAAATCTTCTTTTTTAAATACATTCTGATCTGTGGAAGCAGGTGACAGGCTCGTACACAGCGTCACACATTCCTTTGTGTCGGAAGAAACCATGTTGTAAAAGCTTCCAAATTCTACAACATCAGTGACAATGCATTGGATCTGTATACTTTAGCTTCAACACAAAATGTTTTGCTCTACAAGGGATTGCCAGTTTGCGAAAAAGTTGTGCTCAGGCACTGGCTGGAAATGTTTAGCGCCTGATGTTTGAATAAGATTGGTGGTGTTTAAGGAATATAAGAATTGTTATAAACAAGAGGGGGCATTTCGGCCAATCTAGCCCATTTGGTAGCTAGTAGCTGATCCAGGGATCTGAAGAGCTCATCCAGCTGTTTCTTCACGGCAGCCAGTGTTTCGGCTTCAACAGCAGGTTTGGGTTGCTTGTTTCATACTCCCACAATCCTGTCCAAGACGTAGCTTTGGTTCTAAATGTCTCTCCTGACGTTTTGAGCTTGTTCGATTCTGCTATAACCCTACGTGTACAGAAGTTCCTCCTGTCCTCGGGTTTAAGTGCACTGTCATGCGGAGTTGAGATTCTGCTTGGCCAACAAGTACAGAGATGTTACCAGTGAGATAATGCTGTTGAACAGAGTTTGCTTTCCAGGCATTTTTTTTTTAACTTTGAAGAGCACCTGCAATTGCAAAACATTTGTAGATTTGTAATAAAATCTGACAGGACACTTAATTCGTCCATGTGTCGGATGCTGTGATTTGCTTGTATTTAAACAAGGCTGCACGCTGTCTGTTAGATTTACTGCATCTCTAAAATTACAGGCTGAATCACTGAACATCTTACAATCTATCACAGGGGAGTCATGACTAAAGACATACATTCTGAACTTGAAAAGCTTTCAACCAGGATGAAACATTTTCACAGGACCTTCTCATGTCAAACCAGGAATAAATTCAAATCAAAAGATTTTGGATTCTGTGCTAGGTATTGGGTGTGCTTTATTGCTGTTTGCTCTGTGTGTGATCCTGCATATAAGACACTGATATGGCATTTAAAGAAATTCAGTTTTTCTTTCTCAAATCTGCTATTACTGTAATGAGATGGGAATTAAGTTTTTCCTTTTTCCCCGTATTTCTCATATTACCTTGAGTTTCCTGTGTTCAAACTGTTGATGCATACCTCTCCAGTTGAAGTCAATTCTCTGCTGAGTTTATTTGCTTTCATTGACAAACTATAAAAGAGCATCTTAAAGGTCGCAAGAAACGTCTATATCCTAAATCATTTAATTAAAGCAACCTTATAAAGTTAGGTTATCTGCACAAGAGACTATGCAGCAAATACAACTGCTTGAGAAATAACCTTGAAGAATCTGCCATCTACACAGCTCTGGTACATATTTTCAGTGCAGGAAATAATTTAATCCCGTTGGTTTAAAAGAAATTTGGCTCCATCTTCTCTGGAGACAAAATGGTGTCCAGGATTAAGTGACCCAGAAACACTGGGACCACTGATGACACAACTGTTTTTGTACAGGAACTCTGGAGTAGGAATTTAAACCCGACACCCCATTGTGGTGACAGGGGACACTGTTGCAGAAGGTGCTTATATTGTGTATTTAAGGCCTGCCTAGTCAGACAATTGAGAACAATAGGTATGCTGCTCCCAGATGGGTCATATGATTCAGTGGTGGGTAAAGAACCTACACACTCTATACCCTATACCCTATATAAGGGTGAATGTCCTATGTGTATTGCACAGAGGAAAATCACTATATAACAGCTCAGAATTAGTTCTTAGTTATCTTAGCAGCCCACAAAATGTGCACTGGCATTCTTCCAACACATGCAGATTAAATATCTTGTCAAATTGATTGTGATGAGAAGCAAGATAATTTTATCTTTGTCAAGGGCACGCTCAATGTTGGGAAATGAACATTTTTCAAAATGTATCAGCTGGAAGTTAAAAAGGTTGTACGAGATCACTTTATTGGCCATATACAGTTTCTTGTATTAGGAATTTGTCTTTTCGCATACCCCAACTTGCTCTCCATGAGACACACAGACAGGGAGAGAAGCTTGGGGTCAGAGCGCAGGGTCAGCCATTTATACAGCACCCCTGGAGCAGCTGGAGTTAAGGGCCTTGTTCAGGGGCCCAACTGTTGAGTAGGATTCCTCTGCCGGTCGCAGGATGCGAACCAGCAACCTTTCAGCCACAGGCGCAGATCCTTAGCCACAGAGCCACCGCACCGCCCTTGTATGTTTAATAAGCAGGGAATCTTGTACTTTTTTTCAATAGAAAAATCAGTGGTCTCTGGGTGGCGGAGCTAGTATTTTCTGTTTGATTGGATTTTCTGTGACATCAGGGTGCTTTCCTGTGAAATCATTCAGCATTAACAGAATTGATTGGGGGGGGGGAGTTATCACTTTTGTCACTGAAGTTGTGCAGAAGGAAGGTAGGAATTTAACACGTTTCATGTTCTCCTGTGCACAGCTCCTTCTGCACCCCTCAGTTAAACTGCTTATTTATTCTTTAAAAGCCATGAGCTGGAAACGAAAGTCCTAAATTGAACAAACTTGATCTGGAATTGCTACCCAGTTTTAAAGATCTTGTGCATAATATCTCAAACAGATCAATGAGCAGAAGCAATATTAGGTTTTGCAGAAAGATGATGAGAAAATGTATTGTGCTTCTGACCAGTTGTTGTCGTTATGACTAGTGTCGTAGGTCTGATTAATGATATAGATTGCATGATGTGTAAAAGTAAAACAATTCCAGGAAACAGGTTTTGAAAACACCGATTTAATGAGAAGAAAATGTAGAGTATCACGTTTAATTTGCTATCATATCTGATTCAATTCCCCTCCACATTAAACTGGACACTTGAAATACTGAAAATTAAGGAGGGGTGGTGGCACTAAAATACTGGATGTCCTTTGGCAGCAAAAATACGACTAGCAATGAAAAATCAAAATAGAACATAATTTTGGTTGCTGAGTTGTCATCTTCAGTATGTGACATTGAAGTGAAAGGCCTGGATGATAGTTTGCAGAAAATGTGCTCTTTCTTTGCTTCTGATTTAAAGTATTCTGCCACAAAGGGAAGGTGTTTGTTAAAATACTGAAGCTTTTTTATTTTTATTTTTTATTATTATAAGAAAGTATTTTTAATTAATGGATTTATAATTATACCTTATACGTGTATAAAGCGACACCAATACAGTTGTACTCATTATCTTTAATTTGAAGCTGATAGGTCTGGTCAGTGGACAAGATCCATTCCCAACTACAGCGTGAGGTCTCTTGAATCTTATGACGTGAATCTGTAACCTTAACCGTAAGTTATGTCTTGCATTAGTGTAGTATTTAACTTCTGAAATGAACTGTTGAGTTTTAGGATATGAGATCTGTTCTTCTAAAATTTTTTCTAAAATTTCAAACCTCCACTGAAACTACAGAAGGAAGAGTGGGCTTTTCACCGTATTTGGTTTCTAAACTGTATATTTTTGTTGGACAAAATCTTAGTGCTGGTAACAGCAAATTTTCAGATTAAGTAGTTTTGCAGTGAAATGAAATTCTAGCTTTGAGATGCATGTAATATTTATCTTTTATTAAAAATGAATGCTGCTTTATCTGCTTCCCCGGAATAGTTTTATTTTCACATCAAGACTTAAAGCTTGTGTGCTTTCTGATCCGTTTTTTTTTTTAATTTTCATATGTTGTATATATATGAAAATATATGTCCTATATATGAAAAAATAATTTATATGAAGGATATTGGCAAAATCCTCTCTTTATGTAGGATAGATATAAAGTTTCTAGCTTTCCTGAAATTAAATTGTATAGCTTGCGTGAAAAGTAAAGACTGAAATCAAGTCTACTGCTGAGCTTTAAAACCTGATAAAATTGACCAGGTTCTGAATTGGGATCCACTCATTTCACCTGCGGTGCGCCAGTGCCCAGCTTGCCTGAATGAAACCTAACACAAGCTGCTGGCGTTGTAATGGGTGCCTGCAAAGAGTGTGATGTTGTGATACCTAGGAAGAAAGGCTCATCCTGGCTGTCTAGCCCTCTCTTTTTTTTTATTTATTGTGCTAATGTTGAAGGTGTTCACAGGCACACTGTGGTCTAAGGCTTACCAAAGCCACGCAGACAGTGGGGAGCTCTGATATTTCAGGATTCAGCCGCTAACAGAGGTAGAGAGTTGACAGTACTACTACTGGCCCACAGGTGTCATGAACACACTTTGGCTTTGTGCTGCTACGCTCCACTGTAGTTCGTCAGAGGGGTATACGGGCATACACAACAGCACGTCTATCCACGTGTATCTCTCTATGCATATGATAGGAGTCGACACCGGAATGTTTTAAAATATTACAGATAAATGTTTGAAGCAAATTTTCAGTGGATATTTTTGTCTGTACTCTTATCATTACTATTTTTTTTGTCATGATTTGTAAACCTGAGAGCAATTGCCTACAGTATATTTTCATGTGATACTACAGATGCCATGACTCAAAACCAAATCCGTTCATTTAGATCCCTTCATTTAGGTGGCATTTTTTAAGTTTTTTAAGTGTTTCTAGAAGCAGCTTCTTCTCTGCCCGGTGCAAAGTATTCTTTTTCTTGACTGCTTTGCTTCTGTTTCTCCATTACTTTGGAAATGGTGACATTGTAAAGCTCATTTGTTATGAGTTAAGATTCCTTCCACTGTGACATGCAATTTGCAAACGAAGTGAACGGTTATCAACTATAGCCATTTTATAGAGAAATTGTATGTAAATTAGTGCAACAACTTTAGAGCAGCTGTGTATTATGCATCATTTTATGACAGTTTATATAATGATTCTGTCAAATAAATCAGTTCTATAGCAGAAAACTCCTGGTTTGTGGGGATGGATGGATGT